CGCAATTCGCTTTCTACTGCTACCTTAAAAAGCTGCAAATTGCAAAGTCTACTCTGTAAAAAATAAAGAGGAGCAGTAGTGCAGTAAAAAGAAAAAGTTAAAAAATTGAGGTTGGAGGTTGGACGCTTGGATGTGGTGGTGCATTCGGAGGAGTGGTGGCCAGGAGATTGAGTCAATGAGATACCGAACCCAGGTCCAACTCCGTGGACTGCAATTCTGCAAATTAAACAAAACGCATCCATAGCTCCAGGCCTAAAAGTGGAAGCGAGTCTGGACTCTAAAAGTCTAAACGGAGAAAGTGATGAATTCTGAGTTCTGATAAGCTCTCTCGACAGTTTGTCTTTTGGACAGAGAGAGAGAGAGAGAGATATGTACTGGAATGGGATCCACTACCTTCTGTATCTGGAATCTGGACCTTGCTGTTAATTACAGGCCCACGACATTCTTACTCATGTTCCTTTACTCTGATTCCTCTTTTTTTATCTGCCTCACATATATATTAAAACAAAACAACAAAACAACAAGAGTTTTTTTATTTTTTATTTTGTAGAGTAAAGAGAAATTCCCAATGGAAAATATGGGTTGATTCAGTTTGTCAGGGCTTCAGAACACAACAGAGTGGAGTCAGAGATGCTTTTGCATTTAGACAAAGAGTACGTGTTAAAATACAGCCATCAGGTATCACGCTTAGCGGCTAAGGTGGGGTGGGTGGGTGGCATTCATGTGTGTTGAGCAGTAGGTGGACCCGCTTCGCTGGCTCGCCAACCAATTACATGTTCCTTAAGTGTCATGTGGGCCCTCCTAGCCTTTCTCTGCTTATTGGACCTGCGATCAAGAATTATGATTTCTTTCTCCATTTTCTCATCCACCACCTCTCTGCGTTTTCTTGGCCACCTTTTCTCAGTGTCCATTGTCCAATCCATCCTCACTTTTTAGCAATTGCAAGATTTTTCTGTAAGGGATATAAGTCCTTGTTTAATCATTAATTAGTGAATAATCCCGTATTAATTACAGGGAATCAATAATATTAAGTTTACATTATGAAATTGATAGTGTTAAATTTATATTATTAATATTTTAAATAATTATTAAAATTTTAAAAAATAATTTTTCAATAATTATTAGAATATGGATAATTTTTTTTATTATGATAAGTAGAGGGTTAATAATTAAGTGAAATTGATAGAATATAGGCAAAAGTAGTAGTGGATAATAACTTTTGTATTTTTTTAGGAGTGGATTGAAAATGGTGGTAATGGGTTGTGGGCTTTAGCAGCAATTTCTCATAAAATGCCATGTGTCTAACTTTCCAAAAAAATGAGAAGAAGTTCAAGTGTCTGAATGGTGGGGAGTTGTAATTTGATAGTGGGTTGTGGGTTTTAGCAAGAATTTCTCAAAAATTGCTACATGTTTAACTTTATAGAAAATAAGAAGACCATTTGTTTGAATGATGGTAGTAGACTGAAACTTTAACAACAACTACTCAGAAAATGTCATGTGTCTAAATTTGAAAAAACCACATATCTGAATGGTGAAAACTATAGCCTAAAAAACTTCTTTTAATATATATATATATATATATATATTAGATTTGATTAACTAATTGAGTTTGTTTATACATGTAACTATCAAGAAAAGCAATTCAGTCAAGATAAAACAAAGAAAAGGGGGAAAAGGAACAATGTAGAGAGAGATGCTTGGCTATATGGAACAGGAGGTCCATGGATTAGTATAGGATTTAATGGGAAGACATACTTGATTGTATTTTTAATGGGAAGACATACTTTTATGCCCCTGTTATTATAACGTAGTTGTTATTTTTATTTTAGAGTGTGTAAACAGCTAACAACCATCGCGGCCTCTTGTGCAGAGATTTTATTGGACGATTGATTGAATGATCCATCATCAAAGGATTCTCTCTGACCCTCCCTTTATTAAGCATACAACTTGTTCAAATCCACAAATCCTGATTACTAAATGATGTTCATATGTTTCTTTTGGAGGTAACCATTGAATGCTGTTGCTTTTGGAGGTTACCTAGCCCTAAATTCAAGCTGATTAATCAATCGAGAGGTGATTCATTGGTGTATCAGCTGGTTTATTTCAGCAGTAATGACCGAACACACACCAAAAAAAAAAAATCAAACTGATTGAATGATAGTAATTGAGTAAATTCATGTATGTATTCCTTTTGAATGGTGGGTCCTGATTGTTTGTTAGACGTATTAGTCGATAGTTTGGGTGGGGCTTCAACTTCAATGATCAGCATGGAGTCTACTGGATTGGTATTTGTCGATGAAGAAATCCAGTTTCGGTTGATAGGATAGGATTCTTTGAAGCCGGCGAAAGAGAAATCCCATTATAGCATTATAACTTGGCAAAGAAGAATAAATAAAGGGCAGTGCAGTAAATTTACCTTCTGTTAATGTACAACAGCAGTGGTCTCACTATATTAAAAACATATATATAAAAAAAAAAAGAAGAACCTGTGACTGTGGGGGTGGGACCCTCGGCCTCCGGTGTTTATGCCTGATACTGTTGTCAGTTGTGAGTTAAGTTATGAGTTATGACATTACATACACAGACATGTAGACGCCATCCAATCCCAAGGCCAAAGACAATCCCTAATCCCTATTTCGTTGTCTTGATGCCAATATTATTGGCGATTGACAGCATTTCTGATTTCGGTTCGGATTCTATACTGCTGCGGATTAAAAGAAATAAAAGAGATTCTATACAAAATTCTTCGGATTCTGGTGCAGAAAATTTTGATACATACAGATTCTGTGCTGCCGCTGCTACCCGATGATGATGAACAAGCGCAGAGGGCGACCCTCAATTCAACTCCTTTTATTCAATGATGTTAGAAAAGAATTCTAATCTAATTGTTTTAAGTAGAAACAATTTAATTCCATCTTTTATAATATTTAATAAATATATTGAACAGCGGAAAAAGTAAATGGAAATCACGTTGAATGTCCAGGCGCATCCTGAAGGTGAACGACATGGATGACGTGGTCCCCACCGACGGTGGCGTCATTGCGCCTTGTCCTGACAAAGAATACATGTAGGACCACCTCCCTTTCGATTCCAGACCCTTCCAATTTTTTTCCATACCAAACCGTCAGGAGATCTGCAGCCGTTCGTTTCGGCTACATGTCACGATCTTTTTGTGAGACGTATGATTTCCTAGAGTCGTCAAACATGAGGCCGAGCTTCTTCCACGTGTCCCCCCAGATTCCCCAAAAGTTGTCCTGTCACAGTTTCCTTTCGTTGCTAATTTGTAATAAGCTAAAGCTACTTCAACTCCTTACCCTAAAGAGTGAAAACCGAAAACCCTCACAGTCGCAGCTCTTGTTTTAACTTCCTACGGTCGGAACCATCGTTTTCCGGACTGTGGGGCGCGCTCCGTGGGAAGCCCATGCCCATCCGATGAATTTACTACCGACTACCGTGTCTTCTAAGCAAAGTGAAATTCGGACTTTTAACTGTCCTTCCGACCCGATGATTCTGTATGCATGTCTCACGATGAAAAATTGATGTCCTAGTAATCACCAGCTGACTCCTCTGGCCCTACTAGATAAGGAGCTAAGCCAGATAGGGACGAAGACGATATCTAAGATTAGAAAGTTTTGGTTGAGTACTGTCTTGTGTAGATAAGCGCACCAGATTTATTATATTAATTAGGAAATGGAATAATAATAATAATAATAATAATAATAATAATAATAATAATAATGCAGGGTACCGTAAATCTATGATAAATAGTAAATAAAATAATTCAGTACATTGCATTTTGCATGGAGTCACTGAGTCAGCTTTCATTTTTGACGATCTATTTGGCTTTGACATTTTAGTAGTGATGGTATTGGCTGCCGATTGGACCGTTGCAGATTTATTTTAGCCGTTAATTTTAATGAAAGCGCCTGGCTATGTCATGTCTTATGCAAACATCAGTAGTAAATACTAAATGGTAAAAATACAAGGGTTTTCTTAATTCCG